TTGCCATCGGCAACGTGCTGCCCCTCGGCCAGATCACGGAGGGGTGCATCGTCTGCAACGTGGAGGCGAAGGTCGGCGACCGCGGCACCATCGCACGCGCCTCGGGCGACTACTGCATCATCATCTCGCACAACCACGAGACGGGCCGCACGCGCCTGAAGCTGCCGAGCGGGCAGAAGAAGACCGTCCCCAGCACCTGCCGCGCCATGATTGGCATCATCGCCGGTGGTGGCCGTATTGAGAAGCCCGTGCTGAAGGCCGGTAACTCCTTCTACCGTTTCCGTGGGAAGCGCAACTGCTGGCCCAAGGTGCGTGGTGTTGCCCGCAACCCCGTGGAGCACCCGCACGGTGGTGGTAACCATCAGCACATTGGCCACCCGTCGACCGTCTCGCGCCACGCACCGCCGGGCCAGAAGGTCGGCCTCATCGCCGCCCGCCGCACCGGTCGCATCCGCGGTAGCAGGGCCGTCAAGGGCGCCTGGCACCCGGAGGAGTAAACGCAGTGGCGGCGGTGCCGAGACGCGGGAGCGACAAGTGGCGACGCTAAACCCACCCACATACACCTCCGCGCATGTGAATGTGTGCGTGTGTGTGGTGTGTCTGTGATCCCAGCTTAGTCTTTTTTTTCTTTGATTGGATTGTAATTTGTTATGTTTCCTTTTTTTTTTGAACCCCTTCCGTCGGCTGTGCCGGCCGGCCGGTGCGTGGCAGCAGCCGGGTCCGCGTCGTTGCAGCCTTTGCTGCTCCTTCCCGACCCCTCTCGCTTCCTCTCCCCATGCCTGCGTGTGTGGGTGCGTGCATCGCCGTCTCTTCTTCTTCGCCCTCCCGTTCTCTCTTCTCTCACACACCGCCCCCGCCCCCCATCACTGCACCGGCCCCGCCGCTTCACTTCGCGCACGCGCAGCTGCAGTGTTTTTGCTACGGTGGCCTTCACGCACATGGGAGTGACGACAAAAGTTAAGCGAGGCACACACACAAACAAACAAACAAACACACACACACACACACACACAAATTGACTGACTGAATTGCGTCTGAGGGGAGGGGCACCCGCGCAGGCAAGCGGCGAGGGAAGGAGCGTAGTGGAACCCCAAGTAAGGCACGAGCGAGAAAACTAGCACACAGCAAGCGACACAGGTCGCTTGAAAAGTAAGGAAAGGTTGAAAAAAAAAGTGCGGAAAGCGTCTCGTGAAAGTGCAGCTGCTTCTGTCCTTGGGAAGAGGCTTACACGCGGAGACTCGAGGCGCCGTATTTGGTATCAGCCATAGTTCTTGCCCCGCGTATACACACACACATATATATATATATAGGCCTGTATATATATATATATATATCTATATTTGTATTACTTGTGTCTATTTGTCGCACGGCTACGCGTGCGCAAGCGGCGATAGAGAAAGTGAGAGAAAGTTGAGGGAAGAAGCAGCACCCACTCCTTTTTTTTATTTGGGTTCGACGACTTTACACGCGCGGGGCGGAGCCACATAGACGGCGGCAGGAAGCAGCAGGGACGATGCACGAGACAGGCGTAGGAGGAACAACAACACCGGTGCCTGGAGAAGGAGAGAAAAGGAAACCCAGCGGCAAACCGCAACGGAAGTCACTGCCTTCTGGCGTAAGAAAAGGGCGGGGTTTTTTGCTGCCGAAGCTGCTGCCCCCTGCAGAGGAGTCGGAGAACGATGCCGACGGGGCGAACGCGCCCTTGGGCGCCTCTTTCTCGCCGTCGCTGGAGGCACGACACTCGGTGAGGCTTGCAGGCGGCGGCGTCACGCTCCTCCGCGCGCTCTCGCCCAGCCAGAGCAACGCGGGCGTCTCAGAGGCCATGGAGGGTGAGCTGTGGCACGTGACCTCCGACGGGCCAGGCGGGAACAAGCACGCGGCGATGCAGTGGGTGACGTGCGATGACCACCGCCTGACAGTCTCCTCCAGCTGGAGCCGTCAGAGCCGCATACTTGACATGATGCAGTTTGATGGTGTTCGCGTCATATTTACATTTTACCACAGCCACAGGCACATGGTTCCCAGCCGACAGGCGCCAATGACACGACTGGCGCGGCGCCACGACAACAACACCTCCGTGCAGTTGAACCTCGGAAAAAGCGCGTGGTGGGCCAGTCAAAGCACGCGCCTGCCGGCACCGGGGCCAGCTCGCCAGTTCTACAGTCGCGGCGGGAGGATGATGCGGCGGTACTACTACTTTGGCATTGAGTTTAGTGGGCGTGGGGTCTCCGCCGGCGCCTCCACGCGACGGCAGCGTCGTCTGTTCATCTTCGCAACGGACGTCAAACAAGACCAACGCATGTGGTTGGAGTACTTCTTACGACTGGGGGAAGCAAAGACTCGTTCCGTCTCCGCCCCAACCAACGCCCATGGCGACTTCTCCGTGCAGCTGGATGCGCTGCACACCGACGGCGCCGCCACGACCTCCGCTGCGGTGGACGCGGGGACGCGCGAAGACCCCTACTTGTCCTACGAGCCGCTCAACTTCACCGGCACCGGGCGCCCAAGCCGGAACACCTCTCCGTTGCTGCCGGAAGAAAGAGAGTATTATGATTCCCGCGACTCATACAGCGACTTCTCCGGCGAACAGGCGCTAGGGGCGTATTGGTTGGCCCAACTGGAGGAGGAGGAGGCGCGCTGGCGCCACACCTTCCTCGCGGAGGAGGAAACCACACTACAGCAGCTGTGCGCCATCGCGCACGCGCTGCTTGAGACCGCGAAGGACACCACCGCCCTGTATGGAGCGGCATCCGCGGGCTCCACCTGCGGTGGCGCCACAAGTGACGCGACCTCTGTCACCCGCAGAGAAGAGGCTACACTGCAGCGAAGTGATTGCATACAGCTCGCATCGGCCACCATACACACGCTGCATCAAACTGTACTTGCTAAAAACAACAACATACACGATATACAAATCCACCTCGATGCGCTGCGAAAGAAGCTGGCCATTGAGGAAAAAGAAGACGAAACGCTAGAAAAGCCTCCTTGTACAACTGCTGTTAGCACATGTGCAGAGATCAATCGGGAAGAAGAACAGGAAAACACACCTGAAAATAAGAAAAAAGAAAATGATTACGAAGAATGCTTGAAGTTAATTTTGGGTATTGAACGGGAGCTCGAACTACGCCTTACTCATAGCAAAGCTGCCCGTCTAGCATTAGAGGAGCAGAGCGAGCACGCGCGCCGTGAGCTGGAGGGGCGGCTGGCGGAGCTCGGCGCCGCGAGGGACGGCCTGACGGGGCGCGTGGCGGAGCTGGAGGGGCGGCTGGCGGAGCTCGGCGATGCGAGGGACGGCCTGACGGGGCGCGTGGCGGAGCTGGAGGGCAGCTGGCGGAG